TGTGCATGTGTTGAGTGTGGCATCCTCATGTACAGTCCAAAGTGGCTGCCAGTTCTGTCTTCTAGAGGCCAAAATTTATATCTGACTTCGAATTGCTTATTCTTATTTTGTACTGGAATAGAAATAAGAACAGATTCTGCACAATTATAATTTTCCCACAATTTAATACATTATTTTAAACAGAAATTAAAAATAATTTCCGGGGCACCTGAGTGACTCAGTTCGTTAAACATCTGACTCTTGATATTGGCTGCAGTCATGATCTCACAGCCTTTGGGATCGAGTCCTGCATTGGGCTCCACACTGAGCATAGAGCCTACTTGGGAGTTTTCTCTCTCTCTCTCTCTCTCTCTCTCTCTCTGTAGCTCTGCCAACCCCCCAAGCCTCTCTCTCTCAAAATAAATGAATAGACTTTTTTTAATTAAAAATAATTTATATCCTATACATCTGTCTCCTAAGTTATCCATATTTCTAGGTGACTTTAGGGCTCTGGATTGACCATACACATAATATTAAATCTTAGTGTTTACATCTTTTTAAAGCTTCAGGATATGCTTAAAGGGAATTTCTAACAACCTAAACATTGAGGTTAGCTACATATCCAAAGGTCATCTGAAAGGATGAATTTTTTCACACAGGTTTTTCATGTTTCTTCCCTTCCTCTCATGTATGTTTGTTCTGTCAAGTGTGTCCTCATTACTTGAAAGAGAAATTTCCCTAAAAAGAAAAATGTTTTATTCTTTACTTACTACTCAGTTCACACCAAACTTGACCAGGGACATAGGTTTGGAGATTCTTGCTTTCATTCAGAGCTAAAAATAGGTACTTTTCAGATTTTTCCCTACTATGTGATTCTCACACATCTATGAGAATCCCTGGTGTCATGAGAGAAAACAGTTAAGGGTTGGTTTATTGAATTGCTAATTCATACCAGGTAAAAGGAGGAGGGAGGTGGGTGATGCTGAGGGTAAAGCAAAGTCATATCCTTCTGAAGCAGGAGGGAAGCCTTCCTGCCCCTCAGAGACTAAAGTAATTTTGGCTTAGCCCCAGCTCAGTGTCTGAAAATTCAGAGCAATTATCACCATGTCAGTAACTTCTGACATATTTTTTCCTTGTCATTTCCTCTGGACTTTTTCCACTAGTGTTATAAGACATAGTACATTGGAAAAGTTGGGGTAGAATAAGGTCAACAGATCAGAAGGTGATTGCTATTGAAAGTAGTTACAGTTTCCAAGAGGAGGAGTCATGCCAAGCTTTGGGGGGCCACACGGGGTAGCATGAGGGTCAGCATGAGACAGAGGTGGCAGAGGGAATGTGAGCAAGAGCCTTTACTGTGATTTCTGTGAGAAGGACCAGGCAAGGCAGGGTAAGCAGGCTTGGAACTGGCAAGATGAACAATTTCATCAGGCTCTGGGGCATAGGAGTGGTCTCTCATTGTCTGGGGTGGTTGAAGCAGGTGGATAGTGGCCCAGAGTGTGAGGCCAATGAAGGAGGGGGTTGGAGGTGTGGGCTTTGCATTGCTTGGTTTGCATTTGAAGAGCTTGCTCCTAAGTGAGTGGCTTACTATCCCTAGGACTTGGCCAACTCTGAGAGGGTCAGCAAAACCCCAGATGTTAAAGCATCAGAATACATGGTTAAAAAGACATATGGTAATACAACTCATTCTAACTTTCTATCTTGGTTCTTCCTCTTATAGACCTAGACTGAAAGTACAGGCTCTTCATCAGGGTCCACAAAAGTTCTAATCACAGTAAGAATTTTATTAGCTTAGTCTTGGAGTGTTATAGGAAAGTTATAAGAAGTTATAAACACCTGTGGGCTTTATCTCTTTTTCTGCCTTTGTCTAGCTTCTTATTCCCTGTCTGATGCAATTTCCCCTCCTTGCCTCTGGCAGGAAAATTCTTACATTTAGTGCCTCCAAGGTCTTAGCTTCTACTCAACCAGGAGTTTCAAATGATTTTCTGAGCATTGGTGGATCTCTTCTTCTTATGATAAGGCCTTCTGTCAACTGCTACGAAAATAAAAATTCCCTATCTCATACTGATACCATCATAAACATATATAACCATCAAACTGATAAGCTGCTAGAGAGAACTGAAAATAACCAAAGCAAAAAGTGATTTTAAATTAACCATAAAGTTGAAGCGAATGTGGAGAATGTGGCACTGTTGAATCCTAAGTGACAGTTTTGGCAGAAGCATTGATAAACATACCAAGACTTTGCTCCCTGAGGCAGGATGTGATCTGCAAGCTTGTGTAGAAGGAATTTATTATATATGCTTATATTATTACAATGCAGTTTGTGTTATCACTTTGGGGGAACAAGGATGGTTTGCTACAAAGCATAAGAAAGGGCTCCTGGGTATACAAAGCATTGGCCTCTGAGGGATGAAGCTGTCTTTATGACTCTATACCACACATGTCCTTGGTTCTTCTGTGAATATGACTTAGGAGCATCTTTAAATATCTCCTCTCACAGGACATGCGTGATGGTTAATTTTACGTGTTAACCAGGTTGGACTGTGGGATATCCAGATATCTGGTAAAACATTATTCGTGGGGATGTCTGTGAGGGTGTTTCTAGAAGAGATAGCATTTGACTTAATGAACTGGATAGAGATCACTTTCACCTTGTGAGTAGGCATTGATGCACTCCACTGAGGGCCTGAAGGAAACAAAAAGGAAGAGGAAGGGCAAATGTGTTCTCTGTTTGAGTTGGGACATTCATCCTCTCCTGCCTCGGACATTGGTGCTCCTGGTTCTTGGCCCTTTGGACTTCTACTGAATTACACCCCCAGCTTTCCTGGTTCCTTATTGGTTGTTTCTCTGGAAAACTAATGCAACAAGAGTAACTGGGACCAAGGATTCCTGGTACATGAAATAAAAGCTGTGTAATTTGTTTGCTGTGTTCCCTTGGATCTTTCTGGGGCATACAATCTTCTCATCTACAAAATGAGAATAATGTCTGCATCATATTATTGTGCAAATTAATCCAAAGGATGTGTTTTAACATTTATCCTTGAGTTTAGTACTGCTGGTGGCTACCATTCTCTGGTTAAATTGATCTCAAGTACAATTGAAATCTAAATCTCAGCGTAATAAGCACTTTTATTTGCCTGAAACTAATTGGCATGATATTTGTTACAATATTCAGATGTTCTCAAAAAGAAATTGGACAGAAATTTACTTTTTAAATATGTATTCACCCATGTTCTTATCAGCTACAAACCTCTTGAGCTGAACTGGAGGGGTAATCAAGTCATATGGTGTGAGATACTCCCCTTGTATGGGGCCTGGGCTGCCAACTGTAGCTTTAGCTTTGTCATCAACAGGTAAATGGTGCTTCCAGAAGCCAGAGAGAGAGAATGCAGAATGGGAGCATGAAGAGCTCTCGATGAAGAGCTGCCAGAGATTTTTTGCTGATTTGCATCCAGAGAAATCAGGAATTCACTGCTCAGGTACCTTGATTTTTCCATAGCTACTTCCTCCTTATTTCCAAGTAATTATTAAACAGGTCTTTAGCTCCCACTATGCATGGTTCAAACCAAGTAAAGAAAGGCCTGTCGTAGGACAGCTTCTGCTTTTCAACCCTTTCCTATCTTTTAAACCAAAGTTTAGGATTACTCAAAAATATGATATCATAATAAAAGGAGTAGCTAATAGTATCCTTCTGTACTTTTCCGTAGGTGTTCTGCATTATAAATTTAAGTTATATTTAATGGGTAAAATTATCAGTGTATTTGTGGCTAATCACTGAAGTCAGGGTGTGGGACAGACTGGAAACCAGAGGATTAAACAGCCCCCATAACCCATATTCTGTTAGTTCTGAGAGACTGAGTATCTAAAGGGACAATGGCCAGACCATATATAAATATAGAACTTTGCCCAACAACCAGCAACAACCTGCTCAGGAAACCAACCCCTCATCTACAATAAACAAGCCAGGAAGACAGCCAGCTATAACTCAGACTTGAAGGAAGCCAGATTTCTATCTCTAGTGACAATTCAAGAAGGTAAATAATGAGCTCTGTAGCAATTGGCCCCAAATAGCCAGAACTTGATTAATAACTGACACCTTCCCTGTTTTTTCCCATGTCCAGTTTATGACCAACAAGAGAAAGCCAAATGTGTATTCCTAACCAATCACAGAGCACTTCTAGTTAGACCACCTGCAGCTTCCTTGTGCCAACAGCTTCCAATCGGGGTACACTTGAAGCCCTCCTTTTTTCTTAACCTGGAAATTTCCAACTCCTCTGCCTGCCTTTGAGTCTATACCCAAACACCAGTAATAATGGCGACTCCCTTGCTACAGCAAGTTCAGAATAAATAGTCTTTGATTTCCTTATTTGGCTAGTGCTCGTTTATTTCCACAGTACTGAGAAGGATGAGAGGGCTGAGTGCAGATGGCTCCATACAAACCCTTCCCCGTGGGAAAACTTGGTGGCTGCCAAGACTGGGCAATGGCGTCTGTCTTCTAGGTGGACAGCCCTGTGGGTTTGTGTGTGAGTAGGTGAACGTAAAGACACGAGTGTATGTAAGCAATCAGACTTCACCTCTTAGCAATGAACCTCAGAGAATGGGTATAGAAATGGCAAAAACAGAGCAGTGCAGCTCCCCCAAAGGTGTCTGAGAGGACTAGGTGGATAGCCAATAGCAAAGAACCATAAAATATAGACCGAGCAGTACTTTCAACTGTCCAATGTGCTGCAGTGAAATTTCAAAAAATTATTGACTTTGGCAATTTTATAACAATATTTTTCTAACTTTTAAACTGCTTTTGACATAGCCTTGAAATTCATTTAAAAGGATTTTTTCCCCTACCTTAAACACATCAAAGTAGGGCTTTAGGCAAAGAACTAACTCGGAGTTTTACTCCTATGAAAGTCAATTTGGGAAAGGTAAACTCACAAAGTCAAAGTGAAGTTACCAGAAGCATCATCAGAAGAAACAAAGCCCAATTAAAGCTACTAACAACATAGCATTTTTACTGTTTCACTTACCAAAAATAACTGTAGACATGACACAGTTGTGATTAAGACCTTCTAACTGTAGAATGGATCTTCCTCACCTCACTGGTTTTCAGTGCTAATGGAGCTTCATTTACTTTATCGTTCTTTATTTGTGTACTCTTGGTTACAGAGGTCATCACTGCAATGCTGAGAGTTCCTCCCTGGGTTTTTAAGAATCTGGTGGCTTCTATTTACCCACTTAGGGTGGTAGTTCTTAACTGTGGTAGCTCATTAGAACCATCCTATATCAGGCCAATTAGATCATAACCTCTCAGTGTGTTTTTAAAAATACCTCTCCAGGTGATTCCAATATGCACAGAGTGTTGACAAACCACTTTCTTAGAAAGGGCAAGATTTTCTTGACAGTAAATGTCACCTTGAATTGTATTCACTTTGCCTGAGGGTTGTCAGAATTTAATAAAGTGACATTTACCTTGTCCATTTTATTCTATTTTTTTATTAAAAAAATTTTTTTAATGTTTATTTATTTTTGAGACAGAGAGAGACAGAGCATGAACAGGGGAGGGGCAGAGAGAGAGGGAGACACAGAATCTGAAACAGGCTTCAGGCTCCGAGCGGTCAGCACAGAGCCCGACATGGGGCTCGAACTCACGGACCGTGAGATCATGACCTGAGCCGAAGTCGGACGCTTAACCGACCGAGCCACCCAGGCGCCCCTACCTTGTCCATTTTAAAGAGATGGTAACACAGATGTTACAAACTGACTCCTTGGATCCTTGCCTGGTGTGTCCAGTGCTGCTGTCCCAGGATCTAAGGGCAGTGGTGGTCGGTGGTGGTAACCAGACTTGGAGTAACGGGACAACAGAAGGCACATTTATCTATTCCTTCTCTGTTGCTTCAGTTTTTCAGCATGGAAATGATTAGCTAGCTGGCATAGGAGGCAAAGTGGTGAGGAGTGATCACATGTCAGCTTGGTTGTGTGAACAGTCAGTTATGACACAGTGTGACATGCTGGCTCTGTTAGATAGTACAGTGTCTTGTCACCAGTGCCAGTGACCGCCCAGGGGACATGGGACCTACAGGTATGGAGGCACCTTTGCACTGATGAATGGAGAAAGCCTTGAAAAACTTACTTGGAGGCATGGAATCTGTGCCCCCCAGTCACAGATTTTAATGCAGAATTAACACCAGGCGACTCTGTATGAGGGATTTTGGTTTTTAGAATTCACAAGATCACAAACGAAGTACGAGCTCTTTCAGGACAGAGCAAATCAGAACTGTGTGATCAAACCCTTAAAACGCTCCCTACCTGGGCAATTAGAGGAGCATGGCAGGAGTGCTGGCCCCGTTGCCGGTCTGCTCCTGCGGCAGCGGAGGTCTGACCTCCCAGCTTCTGTTGACTGGATCTTTCCTCCAACAGATATGTCTGGGGACAACATTTGATGCCTCCTGACAGGTGCATAACTTAGAAAGGGCTCTGCATTCATGATTTACTTTGAACATGTTTTTGTAGAAATGACTGCTTTAGATTGTTTCTTCATTTCTCCTACCCTTTCAACTGTTAGAGCCACGTCCCCTGTTAATGGGTGTGGTTTTCTTTAGAATTTGGAGAGATAGAAATATTCTCATTGTTTTTGAGCTTCTTGTTGATCTATAATAAAAGAGGACAGAATAATATGCACCCTCACTCAGGTGAAATGAGTGCATCAAAGGTACCACTTTGGGCACAATCCCTTTCAGAGCTGGGCGAGGTGCGCTGGCGGGCTGGGTTGTGTCTGTATTGCTTCCCTTAACTGATGACTACTCTTTCAAGAGCACAAAGTTCATCTGTGAGTAAAATCACTCCAACATTACCACTGCTTCCACCATTCAGCAGATTTTCGATGACATTTGCAAGTAGAATCAGAAGCCATAAAGAATATTATAGTTAAAAATTTTTAATTAAAAAATTTTTAATAGACATTTTTAGAGCAGTTTTAGGTTCACAACAAGACTGAATGAAAGTACAAAGATTTCCCATATGCCTGTTGTCCCCCACACGCATAACTTCCCCATGATCAGTGTCCCCTACTAGACTAGTACATTTGTTGCAATTAATAAACATACCTTAACACATTATTATCACCCCAAGTCCAAGGTTTATATTGGGGTTTACTCTTGGTGTTGTACATTTTATGGGTCTGTAGAAATTTATAACGACACATATCCACTGTTAGAGTGTCATACAGAGTAGTTTCACTGCACTAAAAGTCCTCTGTGCTCTGCCTTCCCCTCCCCTTTCTCCTTTCCCTCCCCTTAAAATTTAATTAATATATTACTAAACAGTTCCAGAACTATGTTCATTTATTCAACACCTGTTGTGTGAATGCTTATCAAGTGCCACACACTGATCTAGGCACTGGAGATACAGCAATAAACAAGCAGCTCAAGACCCGTTGTCTCCCGAGTCTTATATTTTAGAGGGAGAGAAATAAATAACAAACAAGCACAAATTCAGAAAAGAATTAATGTTGTGGAGAAGACAGATGGGTGACATAATAGAGAGTGATTGGTGTGGGAAGAGTCAGGGATCCTCCATAATGGATGGTTGGGGAATCGCCTCTCTGAGATGGGAGCACTGAGCTGACATCTGAAATATGGGGAAGACTGGGCCATGCAGAAATTGGGGGAAGTGTTGCATAGAGCAAAGAACAAATTTAGGTTTTCCCCCAGATAGGAATAAGTTGGTAAATTTGAGAAATGGAAAGAAGGCCTTTGTGCCTGAGGCATAGTGAGTGAACTGAAGAGGAGCAGAAGGGAGGGGGCACCAGGGGGTGGGGGCAGAGAGGTAGGTGGGGCTGGACAGCACAAGGCTCCCTGGGTCACGGTAAGGCACTGATTTTTTTTTTCCCTAAGTGAAATGGGGAGGCTATGTAGGGTTTTAAAAAGGGGTATGAAAATTTTATGAAAATCACTGCAACTACTTTGTGCAAACTATGGAACATTGTGAACAGAGCAGTGAACCCACACTGAAAGCTGTAAGGTGGGTTAGGAGTCTACGGAGGATCTAGGGGAGGGGCAGGAGGTGACTTGTGTGAAGATGGATGCAGTAGAGATGGAGGGAAAGGAAGAAGAAGGTAGAATCCAGGGGCTTGATGGATCAGAAATGGGGTAAAGGAACAAGGACAATCAAAGGTCAAAGGTGACTGTGGTAGCAACATTTACAAGACAGAGAAGAATAAATAAGGAGCAAATATTTTTGTTTAGTTTTGTTGGTGGGGGTGCTTGGCGAAATCAGTAGTTGTGTGAGACCCTTTAAGTTTGGGAAGGCTACTAATGTGCTCATGTAGAATCGGCAGTTGAATGTTCAAATGTGGTGCTTAAGAGGGAGGATGGGGGTGAAGATGTAAATTTGGGAGTCATCAGGGAATAAACTGTATTTAATGTCAAGGGACTAGATGAGATAATCTAAGAGAAATGAGCAATAAGGTGGCGGGGGCGGTTTGAGGTCAAGAGAAGACTGATTTATTTACATTTACAGTAGTGCTACCAGAACATGTTCATTAAATGATGGTTACAGAGGTGAATTGGTCAATGTTAGTGTCAAATGGCAAAATCTGGAAGCCTGGTTGTAAAGTCTTCCCTACCACCTCATCCAGCAGACTTAATTATCCCCTTGTGTCTACTCTCATGGGGTTTGCTCAATAATATTTAAAATATTTTATTTTAATATTTTATTATGGTAGGTTATGTAAATATCTGTCTCCCAGGTGGATAGTGGGAACTCTTGGGAGAACAGGTGTCAACTATGTCAAGCCTTTTTTAGGCACAAAATGTGTGTGATCTCAGTTACACTTCACAATAGCCCTTTATGGAAGACATAACCTTCTCTAGTCTACAGATGAAAACTTCAGGCTCAAAGAGGCTGAACAGAGTAATTGACATAATCTGGGTTGGAAGCAGAGTTGAGATTCAAGTACAGACCTGCCTGACTCTCAACCACACGCTTTTCCTTGCTGCACTTCTTTTTCAATGTGTTCTGCCATGTATCCTGGTGCCTGCTTAGCCCAGCTACCCATCAGGCACACACTAACCTGAAATTCAACAATGGTGAGCACTGAAAACAAAGCTACAGTAAGAAACCTTAAAAACCTGCAATTCAATTGCTCTTTCATTCTCTTGTGTTTTAAAAAAAAATTTTTTTAATGTTTATTTTTGACACAGAGAGAGACAGAGCATGAGAGGGGGAGGGGCACAGAGAGAGGGAGACACAGAATCCAGAGCAGGCTCCAGGCTCTGAGCTGTCAGCACAGAGCCCGATGCGGGGCTCGAACTCACAGACTGTGAGATCATGACCCGAGCTGAAGTCTGACGCTCAACCGACTGAGCCACCCAGGCGCCCCTCGTTCTCTTGTTTTTAATAATATAGTCCATTTGTTGAGTTAGGGGGAATATTCCAGATTGTTCAAACCCACACAAGTCCTTCTATTGGAGTCCCGCTGCATGTCTTAATCAGGAGAAAGACAAAAAGATGGGAGTTGGTGCTGGGGATCAGTTGAGTTGTTCGCAGCCGCTGAAGCTCCACTTGGGAACCGGCTGGGGAGAAGGAGCAGTGGAAGGAGGAGAATGTTTGGCTAAGTAAGTGAACATGGTTTGCTGCAATTAGGCAACTACACAGAGTCAGAGGATGTAGTTCTTTTTTTTTTAAATATCAAAATGAATATTTCCTTTTGTTCGGGAGCTTTCCTTCTCAGGAGTCTATTGTCAAATTTGTCACATTGTGATGATAACCTCAAGCAATTTGTTTGCAAAAAAGTTGCAAGATTTCTTTTGGGGATCTTTGGTATTTGTCACAGTCTTCAAGTAGACTTGCTTGTTAGTTTCACCTAAATTTGAGGTAGCAAAACAGTTTGACCGGTTGCCAGAGTGGTAGCTGCTGGCACTAGAGTCAAATATTTACTCTAACTGAATGAAACCAACGTACTACGCCTGATCTGTGCTATGTTAGCCCACTGCACTCACTTGTGTTCTGTTCTAATACACCTGAAGTCAGCTGGCCTGAGCGGGGATCTTGCAGGTCCTGACCCTGTCACACTACCATGGGATTCACACACTTCAGTGTTTACCAGGTGCCTGCTCTGTGTTGCTGACATATTTCTACATACTTTGGGAGCTACAAAAGAATTACTGTCCTTAGGAATTTTCATGTAATTGGGATCTCAGGATTTGAACAGGTGTTTAAACCACCACAGTGGTGGGATTCAGTGTAGAGCCCCGATCATTTATTCAAAAAGCCCATATTGTTTACCGGTTATGTACCCAGACATTGAGTTAAGAACTTCAGAAAGTTTAACTAAGAAAACAGTGTTCTGCCCTCAACGAGCTCAGATGTAAAAGAAAAGCAGACAAATTAAAAATGACTAATTTAGGGGTGCCTGGGTGGCTCAGTCGGTTAAGCATCCGACTTCAGCCTAGGTCATG